GCCCCATGCCCCATCCGCCCTCCCACAGTCAGGAGCCACTGCGTCCCCGCAGCGCGATCCCATCCCAAACCCACCCGTGGCAGGAATTAGTGTCAGAAAGGAGCAGCAGGCACAGAGCCCAACCTGGAGAATAGCCCTTAGAGAAGCCACTAAGAGAAAAAGGCCACCTGTGACCCCCTCCGCCCTGTGCCCCCTCTTCGGGCTGCTCAAGCCCTCTGTTGCTCACCTGGGAGCCGGGGGGGGGACACGGGCTCCCCCAGAAAGGGGACAGTCCCCATATGGCCCAAAAGTCAAAGGCTGCTCTAAACGGCCGGAGCGTGGATTTCATCCTTCCGATCTCCCCTATCGATGCTGCGGTATGAATTTATGGAATCAAACCATTCAAGCTCAGCTAGACGAGATGACACAATTACATTGTATTGCAGTTTTGGAAATGCAATCCCTCTCGTTGCCCTATCGTTTTAGGAAACGAGATACTTGCAAGATCGCGGTGCAGCTAAAGACGGTGTGCACAGCCAGAAAGATTTCTTACAAAATAGCCTGATGTTGCCGGTGCTGCACAATCCGAGGATTGTAGTGAAACAAACAAACAAACAAAAAAAATCCCACCAGAAATATTTCAGACACTCCGACTCACATTGGCTAGCTGTGATCTGGAGAGAGGGGAAGCGGGGGGGTCCAGTCGAGTCGCGCATCCCGGGAATCCGAGCACTGAGATGGGCCAGAGAGGCCGGAGATGGCCTGTGGGTGATGCAGCCCCTGAGAAGATGAGCTGGGGGTTCCCCCAGGATACACAGCCCCCCTGCTCCCCACCCCTCCACAAGCCCCAGGGACCACTGTCCCATCGTCCCGTGACGGATGGGGATGCCGGAGCACCGCATTGGGGTCCCAGCTCCCCACCCCATGGCACCCCAGGGGTTGCAGCCGGAGCCACGTTCCCACCGCGGCGCAGGGCCACCTGCCCCTGTGGCCACCCTGGGGACCACCAGCCCATCACACACCTCACTTGATGAGGATTCCCGTGGGCCGGGCCTCGTCCTCGCTGGCGTTCCTCAGGTTCCTCTCCGCTTCCTCCGAGGACCTGGGGTAGAGCGGGGTGAGAGGCAGCCGGGGGCACCGCCGCGGCCCCTCGGTGCCGGTGGCAGGGGCTGTGGGCACTGCTTACACCGTTCCCCCCTCTACTCACGCCAGGAAATCCTTCACTTCCTCCACGGTGATATCCCCGGTGGTGTCCAGAGGGTTCTCCGTGCTGCTGTTGGGGGAATCGATGGAGCCAGGAGAGAAGGCGGCCGGGTGCTCCTCGGGGGACCCTGGGGAGCCACGGGGACGGGAGGGCTTTGGGACAGCCACACCACCAGGGCAGCCCAGTAGCAGGGCCCAAGGGGATGCAGTGCGCATGGTGGGGACAGGGTGATCACTCACGGTCGCTGTCACTGGGGGAGCATCGGCCCTCGGGGCTGCACGGGATGTGGGTGCCATTTGCCTGTGGCAGCTTCGGTGTTGCCATCAAGCTGTTACTGGAAGGAAACATGAGGAGAAGTTACGGCCGGAGCCGGCGCCACGGGATGGGTGTACAGGGGTGCTGCTCTAGCTGTAGCAAAGGCCCCACGTCCCCGGGGCACATGTCACCTGAGGCAGGAGGTGTCCTGGAGCCGGGCGACCTCCAGCCGGCACAGTGGCTCCGTCACGTTCCTGGCACTCAGTGAGAAGCGCTCAAACTCGGATGGCGAAATTAGGTAGAAACCTAGAGGGAGGGGACAACAAAAAGCCTCAGGGATGCCTGTGGTTCTCCAAGCCAGAGGCCACATCCCATCTACAAGGGACATCACTCCAGCACAGGGCTGGTGCCCTCACCCTGGCCGTGCTTGGTGAAGACACAGGAGGCGATGCCACTGATGTCCTCCTTGCGGATGCAGCCGTAGTGGACCTGGGGCCGCAGGCCGGGCACGGTGAAGATGTGGATGTCACCCAGGTTGGTGAGACAGGCCAGGCAGTTCTCCAGCCGCTCCTCGGAGCCGGCGCTGGCCAGGCTCACCAGGGCCACCTTCCGTACCCGGCAGCCCTCGTGTGCTGTCAGCTTGAACTTGGTCTTGGCGCTCACTTTGGGCAGCGTGAAGACCTGGGGCGGGGGGCAAGAGGAGGAAGGTGTCAGGGGGGAACAGGAAGCTGTGGGGTTTGGGGGGTACTCAAACAGCCTCCCACCATGGAAAGCCTTTCCAAGGGGCAGCACCTTCCCCTCGGAGCCACCACCCCAGGGACAGGCATAGGAGTGCCCCCGGCCACTCACCTCCAACCCCATCCCTGCGCCCAGGGTGATGGGGACACCCAGAGAGGGCATGGGACATGTTGTGGGTGGTGGGTCCCATCCCTGCTGCAGCAGGACACTAAGCCCTACGCTCACCTTGAACTGCTCCTCGGAGGAGATAAGCATGGAGTGGCTGCCCTGCATGTCGGGGGCCTTGGCCAGGTCCCGTGAGACCTCGTAGGGCTCAGGCAAGGGGTTCCCCCGCCCGTCCAGCACCGCAATGGCCACCACCGGTGCCCGGTGCATCAGCTGGATCTCCTTCCCCAGCACCGCCTCCACTGCCCGCTCCGAAAACTTCTCCTGCGATGGCACCTCCAGTGCGTAGGCGAACACCGAGCCGGAGTTGGTCCCTGCCCACATCGTGGGGCCGTGGTGGGCAGCTGCGGGGACGGGAGCAGTGTGAGCGTCCCCTCCCCACAGCATGGCACCAGCCAGAGCCAGCTCAGGGGCTTCTCCCGGGAAGGGGGGGTGGGGGTTGTCTCACCGTCTCGGAGGAAGGTGTCAGCGAAGTAGAGGCACCGCACCACCCCTGAGAGCGAGTCGTCAGCCGAGCGGGGCTCGATCCGCCGCTGCACGGGGGTCAT